TCCTAGTTACCTTATAATTGTTTTACTTTTTTTTAAGAACCTGTAAAAATATACAGTGACGGACAAGTTTAATAATAATTAAAAAACAAAACAAAACAATAAAAATGGAATTTAACACAAATACAAATGAAATAAATGAAACTATGTTAAATTATCCATTAAAACACACACACATTTTAAATTTTTTGCTCATTGAGCAATATGAAGAGTTAAAGCTTCATCTTCATTAATTTTGTAGTAAGATCAATCTCACTGAAAACATTCTGGTTATCTGTTTTGCTCATTGAGCAATATGAAGAGTTAAAGCTTCATCTTCATTAATTTTGTAGTAAGATCAATCTCACTGAAAACATTCTGGTCATCTGTTCACCTTTATAGCCCATTCCCACCTCTCAGTTGCAATGCACTGTTGTAACGTGCAAGCTACCACATCACATGTTACATGCTTTAAGGCATTGCAGTGCTATTCCTTTTCACTGGCACCCCAATGCACTAAGCAATGTACCTCTGACGCACATCTATTTTACCGCATCATAACATATGGTACTACACTTGCTGCATTGTAATGCACTCATCGGAAGAAAGTAGAGCATGTCTTTTTTTGTGCATTCATGCATTGACACAATGCACTAGAATGTGAAAGTGTGAATCGGCCCTTATAATATAGGAAACATAACCATCTCTCTTGATTTGTGGTTGTACAATCAAAAAGTATCTCTACATATAATGCAGACCGCCGGTTGCTTTCAATAATACTGTACATTTGAGCAATATTCTTAACTACAATATTCACATGACACCAGGGGTAGTGCGTACACAATGGGGCATCATCATACAGACGTGTCTGGGACACAATCACTAAATACAGTTCTGCCTAAGATTCCATCACATGTGTGCTGGCTTATACAGCCCAACCTTCATCTGTTGCAGAACTCCACTAACCACAAGTTAGCACACCATGAACATGTTCAGCAGCAGCAAAAAAGCAAACGATTGAACAAAGCCTGCAGCGGAGAAAAAACAGAGTGTAGACTAAACAGAAATTTTAAAAAATTCCCAGCGCTGCCTGATTAAAGTTGAAAATGTCAGTTCAAAGTTAAATTGTGGCGATAACGGCATCCACAAAAGCCAAGATCAGTGGGATCCCCTGTGAATATAATCACGTCACTAAACGCCTTTTACTCCAAGACATCCTACCAGGGGGTTCACGCTCATTTTACAAGATCTATTGTGCTTTACATTTCATGTTCTATTTACTGGAAATGTGTATTTGAAGAATCAATTTATTTTAGCAAGGCACGATGGACACACAGCATGTAATAATTGCTCTGCCCTAGGCAGTAAGTGAAATTCACAGATGTAGAGAAATCAGGATAAGAGTAAAAATCTGTTAATGATCAAAAAGTGTTGCAACTGAAGGTTCAGTGACTCAGTCTACATGTATACCAACACTATACAAAAAAAGTGATTATTCAGCTATTCACAGGGACTGCACTATTGATTCTAAATAACAAAGAGCGCTATATAAATCTCAGTGGCTGGGAAAATTGATTTTCCTTCTTCCATTTCTTGCCTTGAAGTTACTTTAGGCTTTTAATCTTTCATCAGTGTAACTTTACAATTCTTCTGGTGAATGCACAAATAATTAAAAGTTTATAACAAAACATACAGGTATAAATGAAATTGTGATTTTCTAGGAAAGAAAAAATAAATCGATGTTGATCACTGAACCCCACATAGCATTGTCTGGAGTTTTAATATGTGAGAAGATAGCAGTTTTTTAAATGCAGAATATGAAAGGATACAGATCACATTTCTCCACATAAAGGACACTGATATGGTTGGTAGGAAAGAAGAGATTTCTGGGAAAACATAATTTCCATTGAGAATATACATTCCAGATAGCAAATACTGTAGCTGGCTTCTTTTATATATACTAGATTAGTTTCTCAAATGATAGCATTGTACCTGGAGCGTTTGTATAACAGTATTTGAAGTTACAGAATTTAAGCAAAATATGTATGTATATATTTAGCCTGTAAAAGTGGCAGAACGTTCGAGGCAGGACCCAGCAGAGAATCATTCAGTATGCTGAATTTCAGTACACTGAGTTCAGTAAGTAAATGTATTATTCTGTAACTTTAATCCATAAAATATTTTACTTGACTCATATAGTGAATTGCTTCTTGTCCAAGCAGTCTTTTGTAGGTAGCAGACTGTCTTTAATTTATTAAAGTATATCTGACCCTTGAAGCAAAATGACAGGACTGCAGAGCATTTATTCTAGAAATACTAAGGGGGTTATTCACAAAAGGGTGAAGAGTTTGGAGAAAGCAGGAGAAGTGAACGATCTAGGCCAAAATAGCAGCTTTTGAAAAATTCTCCAATTCAGCTCACTTTCCAGTTCAGCTATGTTGTCCCAGATTGTTCACTTCTCCTGCCTTCTCCAAACTCTTCACCCTTTTGTGAATAACCCCTTAAGTATTTAGCAGAGCTATAAGTGATTTTATATCCTTATATCCCAAAAATATACTGATAAGCATTTATTACTACACAGAACCTAGAACATCGACCTTATTACAATAAAATGTGATAGAGCGTTGCTTATACCTTATAAATGGGGTTCAGATATATACCTTCGTAAATATATAAAATTATAAATATGAACCTTTAAAAAGTGCATTTTTTATTATTTAATAAATTATTTAATAAATTATTAACATTACATGTACTAAATAGTGGAGGCTAAACAAAAACGTAAGCATGTTAATATGAAACCCAACACCCTTGAATACATTGTGAATTTCTTATGAAACTTCCTGTTCTACCTTTCAACAATTTATTTATATCATTTGAGCACTGCATATCCAATATATCTGTGAAATCACAGAGCTGTAGCGTAGACTAAGTCGGTCAAGAATTTGCTTGTACATTTTAAACAGGGGTTTGATGTTTGATCTTGGTGCCCTTTTTAAAAAAGTTTTTAACGCCTTTCCAAAAAATTGCTTGACGCTAGATCTTTTAACACTACTCTGCAACTGCACATTTTATATAAATATTCAATATGGCAGCTTCTAGAGTGAGTTTAAAATGACATTGTAAGACCCATGATGGGAATATGTTACTCAAAATAGAAAACTGATTAATGGCATTTAAACACAGCAAATTCAGGAGGGGGACTTTCTTATAGGGAATTTTTACACTACCTAAGTACTAATTACTAAAAAACTGTTTCTGAACCAGATACGGTATCAGAAATAGGGCAATGTATTTTTATGTAAGTAAATCTCTGAAGTTTTGGGCTGCGTTTGTATTCCTCATATTTAATATGTTTGTGTATGACTTGTACAGCCCTCCAGAAGATATTGGTGGTACTATTAAAATTCTAATAATATTGATAATAATAATAATAGTAATAATAATAATAATATATTAACAATAATAATATTATTAGAAGAAGAAGAAAAACAACAACAGTGTGGATGACAACAGAGCTGTAAAATTGCAAGCTAGATAACTCGCATGCTGGAAAAAAAAACAAGTAAAAAAGCAAATAAAAAGAAAAGTTATAAAAGAAAGTAATTCATTTTGTGAAAGTCCAGGTCACAAGAATTAAAGCTGGCAAACCATAGTCATGTGTATATGGGAACTCTTCCTAATACTGCATGCGCATTATACATAAATCATGTTAAAAATGTGTATTTTGTTCTAATAAACAGGGGTGCTGCTTTCAAGTTTAGGTAAATGCAAAAAAAAGTACCATATAGCATAATCTAAGGAGAAGAAACTGGAACCTACTGTAAAGAAGCAATACAAGTATAACATTGTACAAGGATTAGGTTTAGATTCCAAATGTAGGAAAGTTGTGGCACTCTTGTAATCTGTGTGAACTCTTTTTATTCCATCAATCGACATTCTGAACATCTCAGAAAAACAACTCTAATGCATTTCATGGTAACATGTGCTTAATCATAGAGTCAAGGATCACTTATTAGATTGTACAAGGATCACTTATTAAAATCATTTACAAGTGCAATGCTTTGCAATTACACATCACAACCAGTGTTTAGTTATTGTCAGAGAAGTAAAAGTTGGTATTAAATTGGATCTATGGTCGGGTTTATGATAGTGTTATTGCCACTATGTTGTTATGTTGCCACCATATGTGGACTATGAAAGTCCATACATATAAAGGGCATTAGGAATGAGCTGAGTGATTTTGGTGAATTGTTGCCAAAGATGAAACACTCACAGGGGTTATTCACAAAAGGGTGAAGAGTTTGGAGAAGGCAGGAGAAGTGAGCAATCTAGGACAGCATAACTGATTTGGAAACATTCTCCAATTCAACTCAATTTCCAGTTCTGCTATGTTGTCCTAGATTGTTCACTTCTCCTGCCTTTCCAAACTCTTCACCCTTTTGTCATTAACCCCTGTGCAGGTTTGCTCATTAACTGCATAGGTGACATTTTTTTTGCAAATCAAAAAATATGCTTCCTTCTTTTGTTCTTATTCTCCTACTCAATATTCTTATCCTTCTTATTAGTCAGAGGGTGTGTTTTTCTGTGGAGGTGTATCCAGCCTAGTTTAGTCTATTACAGTGTTAGTTGTAACAGTGTTACAGTGTTAGTGTATACTATTGTTGTTCATATACTGTCACTTTAAATTTTAAAAAGTAAATATTTTACTTCTTTTTCACCTGAAAAAAAATTAAAGTAATTAAATTATTGAGGGCCTATTTTTTGGCAGAAGAACAGATTCACGGTGATTGAAAGGAGCTTTTATAACATTCATGAGACATTTAAAACCCACTGCACCCTCAAAACCACCTTAATCTTGCCTTTCCTATTGACCAAAATGGTGACATTTCACTCAAATCTCCCAGTTTTCACTGCACTTTTAGAGAAATGAAAACCCTAAATTTCTTTCACCTCTAAAGGGCATCCAATGGAGAACAGCTCTACAATTAAGTAAGCAGAAAACATTTTTTTAAAAGACATACCTGAATATAGGCAAATGTGCATGTTGCCATCAGCAATAACCCAAAGCACTGAACAGGATTCTGCACATGAAAAAAGGAAAGGTTTACTACCTTCAAATGGAAAAAGACATCATACTGATTCTATAGTTCTAACTCAGTTACTATACATGTGAAACGTTTTTTTAACTTGTTGCCCCTTTAGGGGAGGATTTAATTCATACGGCCAAAGGATCTGTTCTTGTATTATGCAGTCAGGTTCAGCAGAAAAGTATTCCCCTCAATCTATAGTCAGCATGAAGTAATTCTTTTAGAATTACTCTCTTCTCTTCTGGCAAAAAAATATAGCTAATCTTTTACCCTTTCAATCTGTGTCCACCAATTACAGATTGTCAGGTACCTGGTGGAGGCTGAATTGACGAGACTGCTTCCCTTACACCTCCTGTCCAATATCCCCTAGAGTTGAGAACAAGCTATAGCAGGACAAGGAGTGGCAAGGGTGCCTGCAATGGATCGACATACAGCAGAAGATCAGAGGACATTTTAAAATATGTTAAAATGAAGAAGATGTTTGGACCATGTCTGTAGAGATCACTGGAAGCCAGGTCAGGTGAAGGAAATGGCGGGTGCCAGAAGCAGAACCATGGTCAGGATGAGTAGGGTCAGCAACAGCAGAGGTACAAATTTAGGAGCAGAGGCAAGGTCAAAGTCCAGGCCAAAGTCAACACCAGATGGACAGCAGCGGTACCAAGACCAGAGGCAGGATACAAGCCAGGATAAGCAGCAAGCAATCAAGATACAGTGGAGTCAGTAAGCCAGGTCAAAATACAGAACAGCCAGAACGCAGGTCAAGTCATGGATCAAAGAAGCTGACGACCACTCAGCAACTCTTCCTAATAGTGCTGTGTTTAAATAGGCTTCATGGTGTTATTTATTCTTACCTGCTGATGCAGCCAGTAACACACTTTCTATCCTAGGGTACCAACACATTTTTACTGTGCCGAAGAAGCAGCGTGTCATCTTAGAGCAGGAAGTGTTTTAGGACTAAATAACATAAGCTTGTTGAAGGAAATCTTAGTAGCCCTGAAACGTGTTTTTTTTTGTAACTTGATGTGCATGCGTCAATAAAGACTTTTTTTTAATACTTAATTCCGGTGTGCTGGAGACATACCATATCTGTTAGGACGACAGAACACCTCCTCCTCTCCTCATCTCCAGAACACGGGAGGTGGGAAGCATTCTGTAGTTGACAGAGGTAACCTGGGCAAGTCATATAACTGATGGGACTGATAAGATTGCCTGCGAGAACACTATAGAGGGCACAGTCAGGAGGTTAGTAGGGATGCACCGATACAAGTATCGGTATCGGTGCCAATATTAGTATAGATATCAGTGCCGATACCAAGTATTCGGGCGAGTACTCGTACTCAAATGCTCCGATACTTACCTCCGATACCGGAACTTCAGGTCAGAGGGAGATCTCCCTCTGACCAGCAGTGCTAAGGGAGCATGGAGGGAGCATGGAGCTGGCTTCCTTTCCAATCACGAAGCCGGGCGGTGGGTTAGGACCCTCCTCCCGGCTTTCTGATTGGTCAGGAAGCCAGGCTGCCTAGGAACAAGTGAAGCCGGCTTCCTAGCCAATCAGGAAGCCGGGAGGCGGGTCATGACATGCCACCTGGCTTCCTGATTGGCTAGGAAGCCAGCTTCACTTGTTGGTAGGCAGCCTGGCTTCTCAACCAATCAGGAAGCTGAACAGCACCTCATGACTCGCCGCCTGGCTTCCTGGTTGGTCAGCCTCTGAAGCAGGTAACCAATCAGGAAGCTGAATGGCAGCTCATGACTCGCCGCCCGGCTTCCTGGTTGGTCAGGAAGCCAGGCAGCCTCTGAAGCCGGTGTTCTTTCACTAGAACATTGGCTTCACAGGCAATCAGGAAGGTCCACCACCTGAGTTCCTAATAATTGGGGCAAAATGCACCGGTATTTGGTACTCGCTATCGGTGAGAAAAATAAATATCGGTTCTTTCTTACTCAATACCAAAAAACTGGTATCAGTGCATCCCTAGTTACAAGCTTACTGGATTTCTCACAGGATCAACAGGTAGTTTTTACTCTTATCCAACAGATAAAACACCTTCAATGGTATATTTAACAGACCAAAAGGGAGCAAAAACTAGTTCATTGTAAGGTTTTACATACATTTCAATGTGTTCCCATTAAAACATATAATAATGTGCAAGTTAAAATCATTGAACGGAATTTATGAAAACCGGGGACAGAATCTGAAACAGTTGCCCATAGCAACCAACCAAAATCTATTTTTTATTTTCAAAAAAGACTGAACTGAACAAATTGAAGAGAGAAGCTGATTGGTTACTATGGACAACTGCCCCAGGTTTTGTCTGCTCCATGTTTTTTAATTTAACTGCAGATGATTTGATATTGAAAAACCCAAACGTACTTCTTTAGTAAATGAAACTCACAGAGTAAAGAGAAGGAAAAGTTCATGTATTGTTGCATGACCCTCAATCAGTCTTCTACACCCACCAACTGATGATATTTTACTAACTGGGCAGAGCAGAATATGTATATGTGATCTATTCCTGCATCGCAGCATTTATAAAGTGGTGACTGGGTACATACAAATTGTAATTGGTGACGATATTATAGCCTATATTTTACAATGACTGAATGACTGTAAAAATCTCCATCTGTGTAGAAACCTAGACACTATTAGTTTGATTGCAAAGGTATCATTATGTCTAATGTATATTATGTAATTTTTCTGATTTGCTGTTGCTTGTGATAATTGTGGTAGAGCTTGGGTTGAATAACCAATAACAAGCAAATAGATACAACAATTTTCTATGCTTCATGAGTAAAATGATTTGGAAGAGTGATAATCAGTTATGCAAAAAGAGGGATTATTTCACTGCGTAGACACGCTATTATTCAAGCTCTGTTAAGACAAAAACAATTCTACCCGGGTCAACTATATATGTATATATAGTTAGATTGTAAAAACTATTTTAAAACTGACTACTTAGTGTGAGGGTCTGCTTCCACTATAATCACCTGATCACCTTCAGTGTTGCAGTATGAAATGCCACAGCCTCTTTATGTGCGTATTATTTTTATCATTTAGTTTATTGCGTACGTTTTCTTAGGTTTTTGGTGGCGTTGCCCAGCGGTGTATTTACAAATGCTGCTGCCCTAGGCAAAACAGCAACGCCACGCCTTCTGGACACCACCGCAGCACGCCGTCATCGTCCCCGCCGGCCGTCCTCGTCCCCGGCGCTACGCTACTATAGCCTATAGCCTCCGGTTCACTTCCCCTGATAAATAAAATTTATCAAGGGGAGAGAGCCACAGCAACGCCGCTCTCAGGGAATCTGCCGCTCCAGGCAAACGCCTTGTTTGCCTCGCGGCAGATACGCCCCTGGCGTTGCCACACCAATGTGACTTCCACTGCAGCTGCCTCTTCTGAGGCTAGGTTCAGACCATTTCCCGGGCCAGATCTGGACCAGATCTGGAATGGGGTGCATTGCGTTTTGCTGCATTTTTTGCCGCGTTTTTACTGCGATTTTGCCGCGTTCCGGAGCTGTTTTTTATTGGCATATAATGTTTTTTTAGGTATGGTCCAGTGCATTCTAGTTCTTTTGCATGTGTTTGTATGTGTCTCCATGCATTCCAGTGCATTCCAGACCAGACACAATGAGACATGCAGTATTTTTCTGGTCTAGTCTGGAACGTACTGCGGTGGTGTGAACAGAGGCCAAAAATTGCAAAGGGATACATTAGGATGCATTTTGGGTCCGGAACAATCTGGTCTGGTCTGCAGATGATCTAAATGTGGCGTGAATGGGCCCTTAGTCTTGTCAGACCTTGGACACAGGCAGCAGCAGTTCAGCTCTGATCACATCACCCAGGTGAAAAGAGGAGATCATCTCACTATGAACTGTTATTGTTTCTGAGGTGTGGTGAGTGGGGTACAGGGAGAGAGGAGAGCTGTACATGGAGAAGATTTGTGCTGGGTGGGAGGGAGATCTGTACTGGGGGGTGATTTGTAGTGGGTGGGAAAGAGATCTGTACTGGGGGGGGTTTGCTTGGATTGGGGGTAATTTTTGGTTGTACTCTATGTTCTAAACTGTGCATTATGTACCCCTGACCCCTGCACTCTGTTTGTTATGCACTTCTAAACCCTGCACATTGTGTTATACATTCTCTTGGTCCCTACCCTTGGTGTGTTACGCACTCCTGAGCCTTGCACGCTGTGCACAAAAATATGGTGTTCCAGCATCACTGGCAAGTGAGTTCCAGGATCACCAGATCATAGTCAAAATAAACTACTTAGCAAATATGGCAAGACCCTGTATATAGGTTTAATTTTTAACATTTTGCTTCAAAACTTATAACTCCAAGCCTTCTGCTTATTATTCAAAAACAGCATGAATGTGAAAATGAATAGCGATTTCTAGATTGTGATTTAATTATATTTAAAACACCAACACTGTTACATGTGTGACAAAATCAGTGCATTCATTTAGACCTTTAAAAATATTCCTGAAGTATCACTGGTAATATTATATTTTAGAACATGTCAATGGCATTTCAATGGACAACAAATTAAGAAATGAATGAATCCTGATTTTAGAGCCCCAGTTTGGAAATCTGTTTTCATACAACAAAGTTGGAATAGGGAGATGCTAAAAGCTGCTAAAATGTCATGTATTTTTTATTAAAACTCCTTAATCTGTTAGATTTTCAGACCATGAAATATGCATTATATTGTCTAACTAGTTAATTCCACTTACAACAGATGCACAAAAGTTAAACTCACCATGACTAATGAACAGCACCCAGAGTTTTCTTTCGGATGACACACACTTGTAGCTGAGCTGCTGTCTTTTAAAAGACCATTAGTTGTGGTCTAAAGGTCACAAGTGACGTGATATATTCCAGGTCACAGGATGGCTTCTATAATAAAGGATTTCATGCGCCCTCTGCTGGATGAAAACTGATTATTATGCAACTAGCAAGATGGTAGGAATCTCTTGCTGACTTCATCTTGACATAGAAGATTAATACTCATTATATTTCTTGCACTGTCTGATAGGATCAATACATGGCCAATTAATCTCAGACATCATTTTTGTTATTAAACAGTCATATTTACAGTGATAACCCTCTTAATCAGCTGTCCTATTTGACAAGTGTTTCTAGCAAAGCACAGCAATTACTACCCACCTATAGAGGTTGGAAAAGAAAGCTTTTGAGGCTAGGTCTCCACAGGCCCTGCATGTAAAAGCGCCATTGAGTGCTTGTGTTTAACCTGCTCTCTGTCTCTCCTCTTTCAGTGTAAGCACAATGGTGCAGATGAGATTTTTCATGTAATTCTTAAACCAGCCATTTAGCTTGGGAAACATGTAGAGGTGTACTATGTGCACAGTGTCAGAAGTACCCTTGGCAGGTGTCAGAAACAGCTCCAAGTGCCTCGATGTGGCTACTATTATTCTAAACGCTGTACATTCTTCTATATCCCACCCCATGCAGTCCCTCACTAACCTTTGTGGTCCTAAATATTCACCACAACAATGATGTACTTCGCCACAGTTTTATTTAACGTAAAACTTCCCGTGACCAATGGACATGTCTGCCAAAAGGATGCATGTGTCAATGGGGCTGGCACTCTAGATTTCTGGATCAGTGCTCAGTGAGTGTTATTGCATGCGTTACCTTTACCACCAGATATCTTTACATCCAGATATCCTCACCATGCAAGTGCCAAAACAACACACTTCTGTTCCCTGTGCCAATTGTCAGGCAATCGCTGATAGACTTTTGTGGAGTGCTATGGAATTTTCACTTGGCAATGAGAAATTTCAGTTAGTGAATGTGGTGAAAATTTACTTGCAAGGAATACCCAATCACATGCAAGGAACATAAAAAAAACTGTATTTTTACTTGCACATGATTGAATGATAGAAGCCAGCAGAGCTTCACCTCATTCACTAAGCTAAGGGAAAATTACCTTGCAAAGTGAACAGCCTGTTAGCTTTTAGTAAATCAATCCCACCGTCTCTTCCTTCTCTCCAGGAACTGGTCTGGACTGTGACTTTCTCCAGAAACTTCCCTCTGCAAAGTGTTTCGAAGACGTAGTTGTAATCAATCTATAGTCTTTATGTTCTTCTTCAAAAAGCATAACCTACAACAATATGAAATGGAAAAGGACACCTCTTTACACAAAGTATATACACAAATGGGGGTTTATCTACTTAGGTGAAGACAATATTTACTCAGCAAAGCGACTGTTCCCTAAGCTTAGCAAAAAAGAAGTAGTGTTAACTTATACCCAATCATGTGCAAAAGAAACTAGGAATTCCTTGAAAAAAATGTCAATGTGAAGATAAGAGAGACAGTGAATTAACATACAATCTACCACCCTTTACCTTAACCCTTTGTTAGGATAGACACTCCTGCACAGCTAGTTAACAAATTATAACGAAATCTGCCAGCACATCACAAACAAGGTTAAAAAGGGAGAACTAAGCAGAATCCGCCCTGGAGTTTTACAAAAGCACATTTAAAAAAGTAAGTAGCAGTTTTGAAATATATTTTTAAAATATGCTATGTGAATGTAACAAATATGAAGTAGATATTATCCCAATTTGGCTGCAAAAGTCAAAATATACTTTAAGCAAATCTGGTTTTATGTATTGAGGGCAAAGCAACAACAAGTTACTATATATCTAAACACTTTATTTTTTTTATTTTTTATTTTGTCCTATTTGGGAGATTTTTGGGTTTTTGCTTCCTATCTTGTAAGCAAAACAGTAAGAGAGAGGAAATCTCTCCAGGGTCAGGGAAAAGCCCTCTTAGACAGTTATCACCAGAGGAAGTGTCCCCCATCGGAAGATTACCCCTCTTTTTCTCTTCTGGTGACAACGCATCAGGGGCTGACTGGCAACTTTTAGCCCAGGGGGCAAGTACAACCCAGAGGCCCATGGTGCGCCAACTTGACCCCCCCTCCCGCTTTGCCTCTTCCCCCACCTTCTCCCCGCCCGTCTGCCACTTTTGCCATCCATGTAACAGTAGTGTGAATGTATTTATCGGTTTAGGAAATGTAAAGCACACTGGTAGTGGAGGGATGCCTCGTCAGGGCTGTGCATGAGAGGCGATCCGCGCTGGCTGTACCAGGTAGACGCGGCATGTTAGAGCGCCCCCTGCTGGAGCCTCCCGAGCACCTCCTTGAGGAGCAGCGGCCGCTCCATTCACAGAGCCGCGTCGGATGCGGAGGGCGGGCGGCTGGCCGGGTGCAGGTGGCAGCGGCCCTTCGCGATGGCATCAGAGAGGCCCGGGGGGCAATTGCCACCCTGCCCCCCGGCCCAGTCCGCCCCTGCAACGCATACATTTTGGGGTTTTCTCCTGCCTCAGTGATAATGGCTAGCAGAACAAATTGAAGGCATCTTCCCAATGAGGACACAGACCACAAAACAAACATGACATAGCATCTAACCCTTCCCCACTCTATCCAAGTTTAAAAAAATAATTGCCATTACATACATTTTTAGTACCCCTTAAGGAGCAGAGCTATCCAAAACCCCCAAAAATGTGGCTTTACATTTAGTTTAATGACTTCTTGACTGCTTTTTAAGTGCTTTGTAAATGCTTGCTGCACATGATGCTCTTAAAGTGACATTAAACCCTCAGATTTTTTTAACATAAACCAATACTGTAATGTGTGCCTTACTGTAATCCATGGTTGTTTCCCTTCTCTTTGCTGCTCTTCCTTTTAAATCTGTATCTGTTCTCATGCTGGGCAGAACTTCTGTTTTGCAGCAGACTGCCTTGTCTCTGAAATGGATACATGGTGTCAGCAAAGAGCAGCAAAGAGAAGGGAAACAACCATGGATTACAGTAAGGCGCACATTACAGTATTGTTTTATGTTAAAAAATCTGAGGGTTTAATGTCACTTTAACTATTGTTTTATGCCTAGGGGACAGGAAAAAGCTGTTTTACTTACCTGATTCTTGATCCTGTCAGCTCCCTCCAAGCTGCTAGACCGTTGCTTGCAGACTCTTCTCCCCTTTGCTCCTGCGGTCTAACGACTGCTGATGTCATCGAGTACAATGCAGGGGCCATAGCAGTTTATTGAGTAGCAAGGGACAGTCCACAGTCAGTGCGGAGAGGAAGAAAAGGAGAGCACTGACTGCCAGAAGAGCTTTTTTTTGTGTGTGCAGAAATCAGGTAAATAAAACAGCTCCTTCCTATTCCCTAAGCATATATGAGTAGTTAATTCTTGAAGACAGGGGCAGCTCTACTGCAAGGGAAAACTTTTAATTTCCCTGGAGTCGGGCTCAAAAGAACTGGAAGGCTGCATAGTCAGTGCTTGGAGAAAAGAGCAGGGTGTGCTGAGCTACTGAACAATGACTTGAACGACAACATTATTGCTCTTGTAAACTTTTAGGATGAATTGCTCCACAGTGCCTGCAGCTACAGAGGTCAATTAATTATTGCTCAGTTACTGCTTGATATTAAGTACCTGAATTTCTATAGCCTGATCACAGTTTTACTTTAAGGCGGCTTTTGTATTAAATCGCTGAGATATATTTTGTTTTTAATTGATTGGCCTATACACATCCAAAGTAGGTTCAGATATATGCAAGTATGTCTTTCTGTGAACAGATGCCCACCTCAAATGGTATTTAAGAAAAACAATAGCTTCCCCCTGCTTAAAAATGGAGCCATCACCCATGATCTTTACAAATGGCTAATTACAATCTATACATGTGTTTGAGGCAAAAGAAACCCATGAAGATGTTGATTCCTTTTTTAAATTATGAATTTGTTTGTTTATTTACGCTTTTGTTGGTGGCAAATTATCAAACAATTCTCAGCTGTATAAATCCACACACCAGAGCTGTACATAAAGATAAATATATATAGCTAGATCTGTGTTTCAAGTACAAAGAAAAACAAAAGGTTTCCAGTTCCTATTTTCTCTGTAGGCTTAAACACTGGCAACTCAGAAGTAAACTTATTAGATCTCATATTTCTTAATATCAGCAAAAACAGACAGGAATATATTCTGTTTGTTTTCATCTCTTGCTTCTTCTTTCTATGCTCTTATGCCCTTTTCACAGTATGTGGTCATTCATTACAGTACGCCATAAAATAAATAAATAAATCGAGACTTTTGTTGTTAGATTGCTGACATGGTGGTTTAGCAGTATGTGAAGTTGTTGAAAGTGATGGATTTTCAACAGATATCATTATGGAATAAATCATGTCCTAAAACTCACACAATAAACACCCAAAGATCTCAGCAAGAACCTTAAGACAATGTAGGCAATATGAATATAGCGGCAGATGTGCTTAAATGTACAATGCAATTTAAATTTCTGCATGTAAAACACTCTTTCGAAGTTTAAAGCTCGCAAAAAAAATGCATTTTGTATTTTAATAAACAGGATTTATATTAAACAATCATTGCAGATTTTTCTTTTTGGGTTCCAGGTTTCGGTTCAGAACACCGCCTCGCCGTTTCATTATTGGATTCAGATCTTTCAGAACTTTTGTTTTAGTTTTGGATAGGGTTTTTTGGGGTTTCGGATAAGGTATTTTGAACAGAATTCAAATGATCTGAAATTTCGTTAAAAGAAGATTTGGATTTATTTGCATTCGGCCTCATTGGAATTTGGACATTCGGATGCATCCGAATGTCCAAATTCACGAAATTTTGACCAAATTTGCATCCGGAACAAATTTACATCTCTAATTTATATAGGGTCAAAAGTTAGTACAGCGCTTTACTAAATAAAGATAAGGGATTTTTTATATTCAAATACTTATTTTGGAGATAGATTGAAATGACTGTAAAGATGCTATTAAAATAGATTTGTTTATTGGACAGTAT